CTCTGTCTGTCTCTCTCTCTCTCTCCTCAAGATCTTGAAAACTTTGAAACTAAAGCAAGAAGCACTGTATCAGTCAGAGAAGGACAAGGAGTTGTTCTATTCTGTGTACCTCCACCACACTATGGAGGTAATATGAGGCATTTTATATTATGTTCTTCAGTATTTGCCAGCACAAAGAACAGATGTGTAGAAAGTCCTATGAATTTTTATGTGTATAAGTTTTTGGGACAAAATCTAATTTAGTGCATGAACATACCTCCTATGATTTATGATAGCAATGGCTGGATCTGTCCTTTCCATTCTCTTCCATCTGTGTGGTTATGGTGAAATTTGTAAATGTGAGTAAGGTTTTTTTTTTTTAATTATTATTATTATTATTTTTAAAACATGAACTGAACAACATTTTCATCTTTCTGAACCAAACTCAGTAAGTATGGTCATTTCCATATTGTGAAGGCATACCGCACTGCTTTTTTCCATCCTGTTTATAAAGAAATAGGCAAATTTTAACTAAGTACTTATGAAAGCACAGAATCAATATAATTCTCTCCAGTTCTTGATTTATGGTAGGATATAAGAAAATGCTGTTTTCTTTCCCTTCTGATCCCATCCTATCCACTGTGCCAAGTAATGATAACTTAATACAACTAGTTAGAGCAAGCTGCATACAGATACAATAATCAAGACTGCAGTGGAGACTTTCAGCAGCTTATCATGGCCTTGGATACACTGAATAAGAAAGGGAAAATAGAATTTTATGGCAGCCTATTATGATCTATGTACATATCCCCACTGTACTTACACTATGATGGATTATGCTTCTAATATACAATTATCAAATAATGGATAAAAAAATTATCTCTGTTTCCATCTTCTTTTACTGCTCCATTGCAAGCAATTTTTCATAATTTTAACTGTACTGCATAGCTGATGCTTTCTAATTAATATAACATTTTGTTTTCATACTGAATTAAAGTTCCCAATTTTTCATACAATAAGGTGAATTATTCAATACATTTGGCAAACATGGGTTATTTTGAATATGACTTCCAAAATGGGGACAGCTAAACCCCTCCACATTTGGCTCTAGAAAGATGGACTATTTCCAAGCCTTGCTTCAATTATTCAAAAAAAGAAAAAGCCAAGAGCTCCCAAAATCCCACTTTGCCTGTAATTTCACAAAATGCAGATATAAACCAACTAAATACTCTAAAAATGAGTGGATAGGTAGCCCACATGTGAATATATGAACAGGATTGCTGGTTTGTTTGTTTTGCTTTTTTGCCTCTATGAGTTGTTTTAGAGTGGAAAATGGGTTTCATGCCTATGGAAATTTATGGAGACCTCTGTGCTCTGTCAGTTTCAGAAGAAACCTATAAACCAGCGTCATGCTCCAAAAGGAACCAAAACCAAAGATTCTGTTCTGAAGAATCTACTTTCAAAAATCTTTAAATGGTCTGATGAGATCAAAATTAGCATGAAAAACAACCTTGAACAGAACAGATAAACTGAAAATTACTGTGTAATACAGAAGAGCCCAAAGTCACTGGCTCTGACTGGAGTATTTGAAAAGGGTAACTAGCTAGTACAGGTTAGGGGAGGGAAGACTCCTGAAAAGCAATGTGTGAGAAGAACTGATTCAGTTAGCTTTGCTGGTATCAGTTTCTGCTTTCACTTATTAAAGCAAGAGTCCTTATAATTTTAGAATCTTAGAGCTAAGACCTAATCCAAGGTCTTGATCAGTGCAAGATCCCTTGTGTTATCACTGACAAATGACCATCCAACTTCTGTTTGAAGATCCCTAGCAAAGAAGTCATCATGTCATGTTGCAATTTGTTTCACTGACAGCTTTTCCAGTCAGAAACTTCCTCCTGATATCTAGCCTGAACCTACAGTATTTCCTGGTAGTTTCTACCCACTGCTTCTTCTCCTGCACTCTGGGAAGTCCACTTGATAACTTGCTTGATAATCTGTTTAAAGGCATTGTGAGTATAGACACCAAGTTGATGGCTCTGTAGTTTCCATGTTCTCCTTCTTCCGTATTTTGAAGATGGAAATGACATTTACTCTGTTCCAGTCTTTTGGAATTCTCATTGGACTTCTAGACATTCTGACAGCAGTTATGCAGTCTTCTCCACTAGATCCTTCAAAACCTTGGGATATAATTGTCATGCCTGCAAATTTCATGTATGTAAATTACCTAAATTCACTCCTACCTTCTCTTTGCCTATCCTAGGCTCCCTCCTGCTCCTAGTGCCATAACCATGATAGCCAGAGCTCTATTTCTCTTCTGAGAGAAAACAGATGGATTATAGCAGTTAAGATGTTTTGCCTTCTCATTATTATACATTACTGTTTTACCACTTTCTCCTTGCAAGGGACAATACACTAGGTTTTCCTTTTATTTTTAACATTCCTAAAGAATCTATTTTTGTTATTCTCAGTATCTCTTGCATGCTTCAGCTCATTCTGAGGTTCAGCAGTTTTTGTCAGATTTCCTACAATTTTTAAACACTGTCTTGTATTCTTCAATTATTTTCCAGCCCTATACTTATTCCCTTTTCTCTTTGATATTTTAGAGAGTCCTATGTGTAATCCACACTGACCTCTTTAGATTTCTTCTGTTTTTCCTTCTTGGGGAACTGTTTCCAATTGTGTTTTCAATATCTAATTTCTTATGAACTCCCATCCTTCCTGGACACATCTCCTTACGGATTTGAAATCATTGGATCCAACTTAGTTTCCCTTAGAGTTGATTAAAATCTTCTATTTTAAAGTCCAGTATGAAGTTCTGACACTCCTCCATCCTCCTCTGGATATCACAAATTCAAGGACAATATAATCACTTTTCCCAAAGTGACAATTACCTTCACTTCTTCAACCAATTTCTCCCTATTGTTGAGGATTAAGTCCAGGATAACAGACCCCCTTATTTCTTCTTTCACCTTCTGATAAATAAAGTCAGCAAGAGAAGGCGAGGATTTGTTGGACCTTAGATTCTGGCAAGTTAGATTACCAAAGATGTAGGATAATTGAAACCCCTCATTATCATTATTGCATACCTCTTTGAAAGACTGCTATCTGATGCAGAAATACTTCATCCAGGTGGTCTTTATTAACTCCCACAAGGTCATCACTTTTATTTCTCTCTCCTTTTATTTATACCCAAGTACTGGGTCTATTCTTTTCAATAAATTGTAGCCTTCTGGTGTTTTATGCCAATCATGAGTATTATCCCACCAAATTTCAGGGATACCTATCACATCATATTTGTCTTCCTGAATTAGGATCTCCCTGTTCATTTTCCATACTGTGTGCATTGGTACAAAAACATCTGAATTTTGAGCACTCAGATACTACTGGTGTCTGTGCTGTGTCCTACAATACTCTGATTTCACATCCTGGGTTCCTGCCTCTCCTTTTGTGTTTTCTTGGCCTCAATCCTTGGATGCCTATTCAGTTCTGAATTTTTGCTCCCTCCTCCTTTCCTCCTAGTTTAATACCCTCCTGATGAAACTAACAAGATACTTGTCAAACGCTTCCCATTTTTTTAAAGATATATTTTTATCTTTAAATATAAAGGGCAGGGGAGGGGGAGTGGCAGTAGTCATCAGGGAATCCCTATTGGCCTTCAGGGGCCC